TTTTTAAAAGGTGGTTGAATTTGGCAAACCCATATTTATTCTATCTTTCTCCCCAAATCTGGCATATTTAGCATTTTATACAATTACAGTAATCTGTATTGTATAATTTTGTGAACCCCCACTGTGTTTTTGCTTAATACATTTTAAAACTCCAACTACAGCTTTTCTATCATTAATAGAAATATCAGTTTCTGTAAACATCTCTTTTGCAGTGTTTTTTTACGTTTGAATACATTACCAAATTTGTTTTTCTGATATTTCATGTGTTAAAATTTAGAATTATTGCACACAAAATATTGCACAAATCTTTAAATGTCAAAACACAAAAGAACAAAGAAAGCAGGCATGATCCATCTATAGTTAATCACTTCTTAAATGCATTTATTTCCAATAAAGACATAAAGTTAACCCTGTAATTATAATCCATTAAAGTGAAACATGTGTAACTTTTTTCTGTCTTATTTTTGTATCTTTTATAATTTAAAAAAATGTATTTGCTTTTCTTTCTGCTCTGTTTCTCTTTGTTGTAACAATGAGTTAAAACTAGTTTGCTAATAACAATAAGAGTCAGTGAGAAAAATAAATCTGCAGATAATTTTGATTTTATTTTAATAAGGTCAGTAATAATCAGGATTATGAACCAAGTAGAAAATTGTTCCCAAAGGAAAATTGAAAGTGAAGCTAATCTAATCCCCAAAGGTATGACGTGATGACCTGGTAATTTCAGATATGATTTTATCATTTAGGAGTTAGCTGTCTCCGGAGCCTAGCTTCTGAACCATCCTCGATAATTTTCATTGTCAGTAGCTAACACTAATAAAATTGTTTTTCCTGGAGGCTACTGTGTTAGGAAATTAATTTTATCTAATTATATGAATTGCACTGTTGCTTTTCACATTGTAATTAAAATGCAACTTGTCAGGTCCCAGCTCATTCAGCCGATTCTTTCTTCAATTCTGTTTTGTTTTGTTTTTTAGAGGACAGTTCAGAAAAATGCAAAATATGTTTGCCTGGCTAATAAAAACTGCCCAGTGGATAAACGCCGTCGAAACAGATGTCAATACTGCCGATTTCAAAAGTGTCTCAGTGTTGGCATGGTAAAAGAAGGTAAAGCGTTTGGTATTATTAGCCTATGCATCACATTACTAAATAGCTTGCATTTAAAAGGAGCTCCTCTTATTTTAATGAATGTTGGTGTTTTTTTTTTATAAATCACAATGACTGCCCTTGTTCCTACATGCACTACAACATAATAGTGGTTTTTGCAGCATATGTAGTGTCCATTTATTTCAAATGACAAATAGATTCCAAAGCAATTTGAGCTGGAAAAATAGAACCTCTAAAGGGAAGGTACTCCACAGTCTATTCTCCTTGCTGTCAAACAAGGTTTCACAGAATGCTAATTTCAAAGGAGATATTGGCATTACACTGTATCATATCTACCACTGTTTGTTTAGGCTTATCAAATTGCATGGAAATTTTTCCTCTTTCAGATTTTTTTCTTCTTCTACAAATAACAAGAAGCTGTTTGGTATTATACCAATAAATAATTACTGCTATGATTATTAGGGATGCAAGCTTATATCAGTTTATTGAATACATTAATGAAATTATAGCTTAGTTGTTGGATGCTGATTTGAAATGGCGAATTTTCAAATTTCCATCAATAACCTTTGAGTTATGGATATTGGTAGGTTTTCTTAAGATTGTTGTTTTTAAGGCAGTCATACTTCTAGCCTTTTACTGCAGTAGTCAACAACAAAGGAAATTATAAATATGATAATTCCATGTAATAATGAATGGAAAGAATTTTTTTTCAAATAGTAAGTTATTTCACTCTTCCTTCAATATCTCAAAATGCATTTCTAGTAAAGGCTTGGTTATATACACATTTATTTTCCATGTAATTGATCATTTAATCATTTTGAAACTACATGCTTAATTAAAATATTTAATTATATTGTTGTTACAACTTTCTATCTGCAATCAGTAATACAAAATAATTTGAGTACTTGAAGAAAATTAAGTTGTTATTTGGTTAATATTTTGAAGATGTTACAAGATGTATTTTTAATATTGTGTTTTCTTTTTTCTCTGTGTGTGTGTCTATTATAGTTTAAGTAAAAATTGCAATGCAAGGTTGTTTTCAGGTAGATATATAATATTTTAAACATGGCCAATACAGAACATTTATAAAATGTTTAGTTAGTACAAAAATCATACTTCATTATATGCAACATGGGCAGAATAGAACTATTAGTATATATATATATGTTGGTATATGTAAGCAGAAAGGGAAAGAGAGAGATTGAGAGAAAGCAATGTCCTTGAAATGAAATGAAAACTGCAGGTAATGCCTATATAGGAAGGTAGGCCTATAGGCAACTTTGCTGTCTTATCTCATTTCCCTAGTATTAGTCAGATTTGGCCTTATGGTGTTCATGTGTGCCTTGTAGCAATTGGCCACGTTGTCTCTGAAGACTAACTATGGTGTTATTTTTCTTTTTCTCTCCTTGATCAGTTGTCCGTACTGACAGTTTAAAAGGGAGAAGAGGCCGGCTGCCTTCCAAACCAAAGAGCCCTTTACAGCAAGAAGCTTCCCAGCCCTCCCCGCCTTCTCCTCCAGTCAGTATGATGAATGCTCTTGTGCGAGCTTTATCTGATTCTGCACCCAGGGAGCTTGATTATTCCAGAGTATGTTTTGTGTTTTTTCTCCTATATCACTATTTACCAAATGGTATGTGTTTAATTTATGAATTAAGCTACGGCAGATATAACCAATGGTTAAAACTGCTGGGTGGTCTAGCTCTCTTGCTGTGATTGTAGTGACTTGAATTGCACTTTATATAGGGTCTGTGTATTACATAAGTTATATTTGATGGCAGAAACTGATGTGGAAAAAATATGAAAGGTTTAAATGCATGTGCCATTCATACAGAGACTGCAGAACCATAAATGAAATCCTATCAGGTTTAACAGATTGTTAATACAATGGTTTTGTTTTTAAACTCAGTCCGGTTCTTTGAAACCTTATACATGGAAGTGAGTCCCATTTTTAAAAAGTTAATAAATAGTGAATAGTTAGTGCTGAAATATAGGAATAGATTCTGCAATCAAGTCCTTCTCTAAATCAGCCAATCTTTTTAGACCAAGTATCCCACTGTTTTTAAAAGTTGATGTTTCCAGTGATTCAAAGAAAAGCAAGGTTGGGACCATAAAGATTTGTTTCCGAAATGAACATCCTCACCTCAAGAAGAAAATATATTCCACCAACTAGCAAATCATTCTTAATACGTATTTGACATATTTTCAATCCAGTGTGTTTATTTGAAAGTACAAAGGGGATGTCTTGAAATCTAGTTTACACATAGATAATGTTTCAAGCTACACCAGAAAGAGGAAGAGAAAAGAAAAGGAAGATTCAAATGCTAAACTTGTTTCATAATTAATTTCAGTGGGACTTACTGCCAAGTAAATATTGGTGATGACAGATGCATTAGTAGATTTTTGTGTTCATTCCACTCATTGTAGTTAATTTAAGCTTTTTTTCTGTACAGATTCCATTTATTACAGTTAGGTTTATATATGATAATTTATTTTAAAGTAATTCAAGATTCAAGATCAGCATTTACAGGTTTCAGCTGGATGTTAAGAACTTGAACTTTTGTTGATTTCAGTCTAATTTTGACAAGGAAATTAATTATAGTGGAATGACTCAAAGTAGAAAAGACTACTACAAGCTGGAACTTTTAACAGTAAATTACAAATCTATAAATTTTATGCAAATTGTTCGGAAAAGCTGTTTGTAGGTAATGAAATTGTTAAGAAAATAACCCCTTTATCAAAATGGTGGCTCTCGTTGGCAAATATTTACAAAGAAATAGAGGTAAATGGGATGGATGGCACTGATTTTAATCTGCAAAATAATAATTTGGTACCATTGAATTACTTGCAGTTGGGGTCTAGAGCTTTCGGTTTACCTCAATGCAAAAGCTTTTAGCAGTCAGCACTGCTTAGCAAAACTGATAAATTTTTGTTAAACAGAATTTATCAGAATACTATATGAGAACAAATATGATTAAATATTAACTGATATGGCTTTCATGAAATAGAGAGTAAGCAATTAAATACTGTATGATTTTTCCTAACTGTATAGACATGCAGTATAAATACAGGTTTGTTGGATTAGAATCAGCTCTTACAAAATGTCCTCCTGTCTGCATCAAATACATTATGGAATCTGGGATTTCTAACATGCAGCAAGTCTAGAACAAAACTGTAACAGTATTTTATCTTAAATAATTGTACAGCTGGAAGAGAGCATCTATTTAGGTTCCATAAGAAGTATTTTAACTTGTTGCTACTCTTATGTTTTAGGGCTGGTATTGATTTACAAGCTCACATTAACAGTATATTTAGAAACTTGCTTTCAAAAAGCAGTCACTAGGAGGAGACTCTTTAAAGGGCATAGGTTCTAATCTGGGCCTCCCACCTGTTTTTACACTGGTGCAATTTAATTTCAGACTTCAAGTATGTTAGAGTGATGAGAATCTTGCCCAAAATTGAAAGTCTTTGTCCAGGCAAATGCTTACTGACTTCACTGAAAATTCTGCCTTAACTGTGATTTGGAGAGATCTTTGGTTTTTTTTGTTTTTCTTAAGTCATTTGCTTAGAGCTAAACATTATGAGGAAAACAGTGTCTCCAATCCTCATAATGCTAAATTGGGATGGATGGATGTGCAAAGCAGCATCAGTATTCTCCCTCTAATACCTGTTGGGGAAATTTTCTCTCTCCAACCTCTACAGTGAAGCTACAGAATCAAAGGAATGCTCAGATGCTTTGTTGTTGTGTGCTTTCAGGTTGTTTCCAATTTATGGCGACCCTCAGGCAAACCTATTATGAGGTTTTCTTGGCAAAATTTGTTCAGAGGAGGTTTGCCATTACCTTCCCTTGAAGCTCAGAGCATATGACTTGCCCAAGGTTACTCAATGAATTTCATAGCCAAGCTGGGAATTGAACCCTGGTCTCCAGAGTTGTAGTCCCACACAAACCGCTATGCCACAGTGGCAACAGGTTTGCATTTTCAATGGTGAATTGTTAGGCACAGGAAGATTTAAGTTTTCTCTCTTTTCTGCTGAAAGTCCTATCCTGACACACATGGGACCAAAATCGAATGTTTTTGAAAATAACATCCAATTTGATAATCAGCCATATAGGCTGATACGATGCTGTGCTTTAGTTTTTCCCCTGTGTCTATATAGCATTAAGGAAGTGTCTACTCATTTCTTAAAAGGAAAACTTTCAGAGCAACCAAGAAATAAAAGCAGGCTTTTTTGCTTTGTAAACTACCACTTCACTCCTTAATGGGAATCTATGACATTATGGTTGCTGTGCAGATCTGTGCAGCTAGTTCAGGGCCACCAATGAAAGATTATGTGGACATAGTACAAAATGAGTATTCATACCCTTACTTTCCTCTCCGGAGCCAATTCTGTAGATTATATGAGGGGAAAACTGAGGATTTCCGCAAGTTTGACTGTAGCACACATGATCCCTGATCTGACCTTGCTTGGACTGATTTGAGTTGAAGTTCACCATGATGTAGAGGGCCATATGTTTCCCAGCCTACTACAGATGCTACTGTCTTAAGTCATGCCTACATAGGCCAAATGAACCAGTCTCATCCCCTGCTCTCGCCCTGCCCTCACATTGCCCTCACTGTCCAGGCAACATAGGCCAAAGGCCTGATTAAACTGTGGACTGTCTTCACATGCAAAGGGTAGTTCTGCAAGGAATCCAGGCCATCCCAGTATTAAATTAAATTTTAAAAACTCACCATTTGGTCTGGCTCTTCCGAGAAAATCTGGACCACTCTGGAGCAATGCCGGGCAGTTATTTGCACAGCATCCTGCTGTGCCACCTACCACTGCCACATGGGTCACTCTCGCTGAGGTCACAGTGAGGCACCCAGCCATGTGATCGACACTGGGATCCTTGTTTCTGTCCTCAAGGGGAGTGACTCATACCGGCAGCATTGCCGACAGGCAGTACAGCAGGACACTATGTAAACAGCCCTCTGGCATCACTCCAGAATGTGCAGGTAATGGGGGGAGCAATGTGGAGTATTCTGGCCAGTGCAATGTACATTTTAGAAGTTGCATGAATAATATAGACTGAGAAAGGTAGTAATGTGCATGTGTGCATACAGATACATTCAATAACTGACCAGGGCCTGAGCAAGACTACAGACCTGTCCCCCCACATTCACACTGCCCCCTTGCCACCACAAACATCCCATACAGGGGTTGTTATCCTAATTCAACTCTCACCCTGTGTGTCTGGCTGTGGGACAAGCATAAACCTGATCGGTCCAGCATGGAGAAGTAGCAGTGATAGAAACTGTCTAATTTTGTTTGTCGTATACCTGTTAAAAGTGTTTTTTAAAATGTCAATCCTAAAGACACCACAGGGTTACAAAGTGCTTTATTTCTTTCTCTGTAATATGCTTTTTAGTGGCTAGAATGGAACAACAGGAGACCCTTCACATGTTGTTGGATGGCAACTGCCAGGATTCTTTGTCATTGGCTGTGCTACCTTGGGCTGATGGGACTCACAGTCCAACCACATCTGGATGGCCACATGATTCCCACCCCAGGGTAGAATGATAAGACTACTAGATGTTTTATACTGCCATATTATTTCAGCAAGAAGTCATTTCTGTAATCACTGGGAAATGAGAAGACATTAGAGAAGACTTTGGAATGACTGGAAGAGATGAGAATCATGTGCCCTCCACCTGTTGTTGGACCATGACTCCCAGCATTCCACATTATATTCTATGATGGTTAAGGCTGCTGGGACCTGTAGTCCAACAACAGCTGCAGTGTTGCACAATTCCCACTTCTAGAGTAAGGAGTACAAAATACAGATTTGTACACATCGATTTGTGGTTATACTTCCATCTGCCTCTTACCTTCCTTTCAAAGCATTAACTTGAAAAGTCCTACTCCTTGGCTTAGGGTGTCAGACAAACATACACGGATAGCATAAAGTTGTTGATATGAGCTTTCAAGTCATTTCTGAGTTATGGCAACCCCAAGGCAAGCCTATCACAGGAGTTTCATGCCAAGATTTGTTCAGAAGAGGTTTTGCCAGTGCCTTGCTGTGGGTCTGAGAGAGTATGAATTGCCCAATGTCACCCAGTGGGTTTCCATGGCTGAGCAGAGAGCCGAACCCTAATCTCTTGAATCATAGTCTAATGCTCAAAGTGTGCTGGCTCACACCACTACACCACACTGTGTACAAACATAGGCAGATAGCATAATGCATCAGTTTAATTAAACATTATGAGATTGGCAAAATTCTTCCAATCATTTGTGTGACATGATAGGCACTAAGTTCAGAGGATTTTACATTCATATTGCTGATAGTTAAATCTTTTGTAGTGGTAAGGCATTTAATAATATATAAAATTAAGAGTACAGAGCAGTTATACCAGTATCAAGGGTTCATATGTTTTCCATAATTTGGTAGGATTGCTTACCTTTCTACTCAATAGGTGATATATTCAACCTGAAGAACCAAGTCATGTAGATGCACTATGTAGATGGCAGGGACTGGATATGGATGAGATACATAGAATCATAGAGTCGGAAGAGACCACAAGGGTCATCCAGTCCAACCCCCTGCCATGCAGGAAATCACAATCAAAGAATGGCCATCCAGCCTTTGTTTAAAGACCTCCAAGCATATACTGTTAGATTCACAGTGGTGATATAGTACTTTATATAGAACATTGTTACATTTGTAAATTCATAAATTTAGCAAAAGATTGCCAACCAGCATCTGGTCCGCTTCTTAACAGGAGCCTGATCTGTAAACATCAGGTTCATGCCATGATTATTTCCTTTGCAATTTTTTTTCAAATAAGTCTGTATTTGAAGGCATCAGGAATAGACAGAGCTGTTTATTTTCACATTCCCCATTTAGTTGAGTTGATAATAATTAAGTTGGATCTGATTCTGTGCCTTTGGCCAATAGCGCAGAGTTACACTTTTTATTGACGCTACAGTACTTATATTAGTGTAGGGTTACAGGCTGCAACATGCAAATGACAAATGACAAATTCTACCACTAATAATACAAGTGCAGTTAGAGCAGTTGCCACCTGCCCACTTCCTTCCCAGATTTAACCAAATGTTTCTCAGGGTGCCACAACCAAGAAACCTCTGTCATGTAATAACCCTATGGGGCACACTATCCCTCAGTGGCATCACTGAGTGGTGCGGATCACACTGGGTGACACCCCAGAGGAGTAGTGATATCCATTTGGATCCTACTCCCCCTTTGGGGCAGAAGGGGCAAACACTCTCCTTTCCTGGCTACTCCATCACAAGGTTTTCTCCCTGGGCAGCAAGCATAGCAACAGAGAAGCAGAGGAGCGAACGTGCCCCTTCTGTCCCTTCCCACTGCCTCACTTGCCCAGTCAGGGTGATACAATGGCTGAGGAGTCTGGGGCCACCTGACAACCTTTCCAGAGGCTGGGCTGGCATCAGGTGACTGGACAGCTGAGGAGGGGGGCAAGCAAGTGATTAAGTGGGATCAGGTGGGGAAGGCTGCCAGCAGCCCCCTGTATCCGGTGTCACCATAGGTAGAGATGCCACTGCTATTCCTGGCATGACAGAAGAGCTTTCCTTGCTGATCTTAAATGCCATGTCAGTAATGACAAAGATGGCCATCCATATACTTGGGTTTTGAGACATTTAGGGTTTTGTGAACTTTTACTAGCACCTTGAATTAGGCTTGATGGCTCACTGTCAGCCAATGCAGATATTTCAGTAGATATGTGATATGATCACCTCCCACTGCCCCTGTCAAAACCTAGGCAATGACATGCTTCATCCACTGCAGCCTGCAGATCATCGTCAAGAGAGGCTCCTTGTAGAGCACATGGCAGTAGGCACAAAGTAGAAGTCACACAGAAAAGTATGTATGTGTGCATCAAAATGTATTTGTACCTCACATTTCCATGGCATTATTCGTTTCCACTGATGGCCCGGCCTGCCAATGGAGCAGAAGCAAGGCAAAAGAAATGCACACATCTATCTAAATATCTTGAATAACCTCTGCCTTGGATTTCCTATAGCTTGGATTCCCCTGCCATGTGGAATCAGGTTGGGGAGAGCCACATAGAAAACCTCTACAGTTGGACCTGTACAGTTGGACCATTTTGGACCCCCTGTAGAAGTGAAAAAAATGTGGGACCTCAAGTCCCATTGTTCCTAATAGTGGCAAAACGTGCATGGCTGCATGCACACACCTCCAGTGGTGACAATGGTACTTGCCGTTCACAGATGCTCAGATCCATAGATGGCAAGCCTGTGAATAGTGAGGTTCCACTGTACATAGTTTCTTCCATGAAAACTGGATTGTGTTCAATGTCATGAATATAATTTAATCACTGATCATGTTTTTGAAGGTACACAATTCTGACTTGTGTCAACCCTAAGGTGAACCTATCACAGGGTTTTCTTGGCAGATATTTTGTTCAGAGGAGTTTTGTCCTTACCTTTCTCTGGGGCTGAGAAAGTGTGACTTGCCCAAGGTCACTCAGTAGGTTTACATGGCTGAGCAGAGATCTAAACCCTGGTCTCCCAGTGTTCTAGTCCAACAATCAAATGACTACCCCCATGTTGGCTCTCAATACCTGATCATAGTGTCACTGAATACTTTTGTGAATGCCGTTGGCAATAAATAAACACCCTGACAAAGGATGAGGGGGGATCCTCCTACCCCAGTATCTGTGAGATGTAAACACCTCACCAAAGGGAAATTTGAAGATTGCCATTGCCACTTATTATATCAGCAATTTGAGATGTGCAACCGTTCCCTATGTAATAAATATATAATAAATCTTTTAACTTCCTTTGATTTTCTGACAAAAGTGTCATCTGAACAGTACTTTCCAGAATCACCTTAGCTGAAATTTTGTGCTAGTAATGATGTATACATACCAAATCTAGCTTTGCCACAGAATCATAGATTTGCCACCTGTGGTGGCATATGTTT